ATAAATTAATGGACCAAATTGCAAGGGCGTTGTTTCCTTCACGAGCATGTGATTTTTTTTAAAGAATATTTTAATTTTATTCCACAATAAATATGCTTATAAATAATAGGTAAACAAATAAAATTTTATGGTTTGAATCATGATTTTTCAATGAAATTTTATTTCATAGTTTCAAATATCATTCACTTGATTTTTTTTGGTTGATATTCATTTACCAGGGTCTCTTAATACGCTACTTGTCAATTTTCTATCAAAGATTTCCTTCCAAAGCCTCTATATTAAGTGATTTTCTGTCAATAAAACCTAAATACATTTCTGAAAACTCCTACTTAAAGGGAGCCTGTAATGAATCAAATTATAGTGTGAATGAAGTCCATTTATCTCTTCCATGAGATCTCTTCAAGTTTCTAGAGATAAGCATTTTAAAGCAGGTTTCAATGGAAAGATAACAATTCAATATCTAACCTCATACTACAAGGTATATTCAGACATATTGTGAAGACACAAAGGTGCAACTCTGGTGTTTTGCTACATCACATGAAAGTGTCTTGCTATTTTTTAGAGATAGATGAGGAAAAATATATGTGAATGTTTTGCATGTTGTATTGAAATAACTAAGTTTATGTGTTTGCCTTCCTAGGAATATCATTCAATGTAGTATCCTCAACAATACAGTCTACACTGTGTGATTCACTTTTGCATTCCTACCATACAATGACTGGAACAAAGGTGAAGCATAGCATATGTTTACTGAACTGCAGGGGTTCTGTAGGATTAAATAAGGATAAATAAGGTATAGAATATTCCAAGCTATAGGACATTAAATAAAGTATTACTGGTATTGTTAAAACTGATTTGACGTCATTTGAATTTGTGTTTAAATATTCTAGTTTCTCTGCAAGTAACAAGAGTTCAGTGTTCAGAAAATAACTGTTGGTTTCACATATTGATGACAATCTTTCCAAATGCTTTCCATCTACTTCCTTGCTTTAGTAAAGAGAATCTATTAAGCACAATTTTCATTTTTTTAAGTAGCTTCAAATTTAATGTTTCAATTTTTGTTTTTCCCACAATTATTAATTATTTTCTGTGGATTGCTAATGATATCAGAAATGGGACTGCAAAGAGACTATCTGAAAGTCAATATTGTTGTTCTTGCTAAATTCATGGTATTTCCTTTGGTTGTGACTTCTAAGAGTTTCATTTCACTCTACAAAATTCAATTTGAAGGCAAGTTTCCACAAAAATATGTGTTTTTCTATAAAATGGTTATATCCTTTAAATGTACAGTTCATACTGGCTTTTTATTTTTCATAGGCTGTTAATTTTTCTCTATTCTTTGTCAAATGATATGATTTTTTTAAATGTTGCTTCATTTTTTATTTTATTTACTCTCTGAGGGATTTTTGTACAATTGGTTGATTTATAAAGTAAAAACAAATGAAATTAGCAAAACCCCTCAATCTTAAATACAATGTGTTTATAGATGTGTGAATGATTTTTGTTTGTTCTGCTTGCATTTTATGCAAGATGCACAAAGTTTGTGCGAATTAGTGGGTCTACTGTGTTTCTCTTAAACAAAGGAAGGAATTAGCTACTCAACTCCTAACTTCAAAAGATAAATGATACCTGCATTATCAGTCATAGATGAATTTACTTACTTGAGATAAATATGAAGGAATCTCTTGTGTAAAGCATACCTTTCAGCTGAATATTGTATTATGCAAACTTTATCAGGGAACATACCATGAAGAAAGTTTCTTTCTCTCTCCCTTTCACTCTATTTAATTCACCTCCGAATATCCAGCAGCTAACAGTACCAATCAAACACAAAGTGTTCAATAAATATTTGTTCATTCATTCAACATGCTACAGAAGATGGGTTTGGCTAGGTTATATTACCTTTCATTTTCAATATTGAAAAGACTTCAGGTAATGTAAATGAACAAACTTGTGGTTAAATTGGCAAGGATTTTTGTTTTTCTTTCCCCTTTTATAGACCAATGATAATTAAAAAGCAAGGAAATTAAATATAGTCAGTGTAATACAGTGAAAATAAATTTAATGTGTTTAAATTTTAGTTAATATTATGGCTTTGGGGAGTATTTGGGGGAGCATTTTGGGGAGTACATATCTTGAATATGCTTTGTCCTGTTTTTTTTCCCCCCTCTGGGCAGCATTGCACATAATTAAAAAGTTAAGTTTTTTTCAGCTTTGTCTTTAGAAGAATATTTAAGTTTATAATTTTCCAATATTTTTTTATGTGGCTAAAATGTCATTATTTACTTTTCTAATCAATATAAAATCATAAAAGACTTGGTGAGAGTAAGAGCTGTCCCCATAGTTTATTCAAGAAAATCTCATTATTCTCAAGGGACATTTATTTGATTTTAACATAAACATTAGGAAAATTTATATTATAATTAAAATGTGATACTTAAATACCAAGAATAATTCTCATCATTTCTGTTCACGCACTAAAGGTCAATTAATCTGTACTTGGTATTTGACAAATATTTTTAAATTTAATCATCTTAAGATCACTGTAAATGTTTTATTTCAATATTACAAATGAGAAACTGAAGTTCAAAATGCTTAGGTAACTTTCCCAACATACTACACTTGATAAGTGGCAGAGCCAGGATTCAAATAAATATATGCCACATTCAAATAAAAGTAGGTGTTTACTCTTTGCTGAAATGTGAACTTTCCTCATAATGCTTCCTGTTGCTTCCATTTGATTCCATAGTCATTTACTGAGCTTCTATCATGTACAAAATACGACACATAGGTACTGACTTTTGTCTGTGGGCTTCAAGATACTCCAAATTATCTTCTTCAATCCATTTAAAGATTCTGTTTTATATATATGACATATATGACCAGTAAAAAAAAAAAAGTAAGCTACATTTCCCATGATTTCTTTCCTTTCACGTATTTCTAAGTTTTCTACAAAAGTACACTTTACTATTAGATCAATATCTCATATTAATTTTTAGTCTGAAGTTTTCCTTCATTAACCACACTTACTTGCCTCTCTTCCTTGCTCGGGCATCAATCAAGAGGTGCTTTGGAGAATAGCAGGTTGCCTACTTAGAGTCAGTAAATGTAGGGACCATAGAGGATAGAGGATTAGAATTAGAAACCCTGAGCCCTTATATTAAAAAAAAAAATGTGTAAGGTAAAGGTGCTTAGAAGTTAAATGAATTTCTGAGGCTCACACATCTGTTTAGGGAGTCCAGGCACTGAGGTTCTCAAGTTCTTGGGCTTTCATTGTATTTCTGCAATGCCTTCAGCCAGTGCTCAGTACTGTCTGCACATTTTTACTTGGCTTTTTCACTTCTCTAATTGTTTATTTTGTTTCCTGTTTGTGACCACGTTGTCCTTCCCATGGATACAAGTTCTTTGAAGTCAGGCATTAACTTAATCAAAAAGTCCTGGTATGTTTTTGAAGTGTCCCATTGAATTCTTTAAACAAGATATTGGACATGTCTGAAAAGTATTACAAATGAAAAAGCTACATAATATGTCTTTGTGGTCCTAGAACAATGCTGCTAAAATCAGCCTGCGATTTTTCTAATGAGACCAGAAAGCTCGTATATCAAGTCTTAACTGTGCATGAAGCAATCAGACTCTTTGAAAAGACACTTCCAAAAAAAAAAAAAAAAAAAAGAAGAAGAAGAAAAGACACTTCCACAGAAAAAGAAAATAGAAATCAGCCAAAGAAAAATTAAAAATCACTTCCTTAGTTGATTTTGAAGTGCATGGATTTGTTTTCATATTTATAACAGTATAAAGAATTGAATTAGCATTAAGATCAGTGACAAAACACTTTAATTAATATTTTCTACCTCAATATCATTCTAAAATAAGAAAATATGTTTATGTGTAGTTTGATGACAGGATAATCAACAATCAGCAAGAGCACTTAGTGGTCAAATAAACATTAACTGTATGAATAAAGAAATTAAAAATATTTATTACTATAGGTTATCTGCAGTTTTTATATTTTACATTTCAACTAAAATAATATTTGCCAAAGCCAAATGTATGGCATATTTAAATACAGACATTTACATGCAACACACATCTAAAATTAAATATTTCCCTAAAGTAGAGACATATATACTCCTCAGCATAATCTTATTTGAATAATATAGTATTAAATGACTCAATGAGACTTGGAACAAGAACACAATCAATGGGAGAATACTTTATTTACAGGAACAAATATAGCAAATGCATGAGTCTCCAGGGCCTTGGACTCCTTGCTTCTTTACCTCCTCTCATTTCTAATTTTTATCCCAGTTCTAAAAGTCCAAAAATGAAACCTAACTACTTTTGGGATAAATCTCCTCTGAGCCTCATTCAAACCACTGACTGCCCACTACTTTAGTAGCAATTTCTGTTAACAGATGAGAAGATGCCCCTAGTCCCAGCCTAGAGCTATGTATAATCTGGTCATGTTTTTATGACCATTAGAAATGTGCTCCACTTACTGGGTAAGTCCATGTTCACTTAAGAATGAGCCCAAACGTGGTTCCCATTCTCAGTTATCAATGTGGGTTATGTTTAACCTGGAAGTTCTATGTGTCTTCCCCAAAGTTCCTGTGTCTAGCTTATAACTAGAAGTGATACATTGCTTATTCTTGAACCAGGGTTAGTAATCCAAGAACAAATGATTGTCCTCTCCTATTGTAAGAAACGGACATCTTCTACTCTCTCTATGCCTGAGAGAGAAAGAAAGAATCTTCATCATTATGGAAAATGTGTTCTGAATATATGGATATCTGAGCATTAACTTTTTTACATGTAGAAAAAAATATCCAAACTAGATATTTGGTCTAGCTATTGACAATTTTGCAAAAGCTTAACTTTAACTCAACTATGGTTTTATAAAACGTTGTTATTACTTCTTTACTTTCCTTCCATTAAGTAATAAGTTTTTCTGACTATGAATGGAATGAAGTCAAATGGAAGGCTTTACAGAATATATTGGTAGATATAGTAGGTGTTGTTATAAGGTAAGTTTTGATTTACATTTTTAAAATCCTTTGATATGATGCATTTGTTAGAAGTAAACATGCTGTATATTAAAAGCAGATTACAAGCTTGCCATCAAAATGAACAAAATTAATTTTCTTTATAACCAAATGGCAACATCTGACTTTACATCCTGGAACTCCGTACAGGTGAATGAGCGTGATCGTCTTCTAAGATTTGTTGGTCTCTGAGGTCTTCCTTCTCTCAAGTCTAAATAGATGTCAGATTTCAGAAAACGTGTATAACTGTCTTGTTCCATAAGCTGATACACCCTGCTTTGTGCAGCATCAAAAATGTGTAGGGTAGGTTGGGTGATGCTCTTAGTAATGACTTCTTTGGTGTGAAAATCAAGGTTAACCTGGATGATAATAATAACAGTAAAGTATGATTATGGTCAATCTACTTAAGTAAACACTTTTGAAAAACAAACAGTGCAGGACTGATCCAATGTTGGAATGGGCATAAGGCACTTGGATGCTTTTGTGATTTTTTTTTGTTATAAGCCTAGGGATCCAATGATTTACTCTGGGCTGGCATTTCATCTGACTCTTCTTTTCCTATGCTCCCAGTCCTTCTCACTCTCTGCTAATTTAGAATAGTGAAACATTGTAAATATCATATAGACCATTAGGTTAACCCATTTTCAAAGTGGGAACAAAACTTCATAGAAATTAAATTATTTTGAGTGAGGGCAAAGAGTGAGTTGGGGACATATTTAGGATTTCAATGTGGGGCTTTTGTCTTATCCCCGTGCTTTTTAAATTTTATTATGATGCTTTATTACAAGCAAGTGTGTGCTGAAAATGGATAACTTTTAAAGATATAAAATCCTTTCATGTTTTTACCAAAGCACTACTGCTGTATCTGATTCTGATGGATGTAAGTTTTCACTTAGGGTTCCTTCCTTTTCCCTCACGGGTAACACCATACCACTAGCTGCTTTTTAAAAATCTGTTTATAAAATTGGCCATGGGAAAAACAGAATAATGCACGAAAACACAGAATAGATTGAAACATATTGAAACAAGAAAACAATCATCATTCCATGTGAAATGATACCCACATAGACAATGCTACCTCATGGACAATACTAATTTACAGTGAAACAGAACTCTAAACATTGATAGCCTACCAGTTCTACCACTTCATCAAAGAAACACTATTTATTGAACACATAATAAAACTACAGAAACTCTATTTAAGTTATTTTTGAGGGCAGTCAGGTAATGTTTGCTAGTTTTATAGTTTTATTGCTATAGTTTTAGCAGTTGTACACACAATTATCTCACCCTGAGCTTGCAGTCAAAGAAAATCACATTTGTTTTTTCACTTGAGCTCTTGTCAGATTAGGTTTCCCTCATCTAACAATTATGAAATTTTCTTTTAGTCTACCTTAAAGTGGACAATAATTATTTTGGGGCAATCAAACTTTGCATAGGTAGATGAGCTCACACTAAAATGGTACAATATACAATCTTTTTAATTTGTCTTGCCTTCCTCACTTATAGAAATTGTTAGTTAGAGACATTGCTTATGCTTAGGTGATGAATATAGATAAGTGAATGAATCTAAATGTTGCAAGTAATTGTATTTACTCTTAGTCTAGAATAAAAAATAACCCCAAGGAATGACTTCAATTATACTTTTACTTTCATGGCAAGTCTTACAATGTATTCTGTTTGTATATGGGAATTCATAGAAATATCCATTTTTGCTTCAATAAAATCTTGACATTTCTGGTAGAATATATGAGGATACAGATTTGATAAAGGCAGATTCTCTCAAAAATTTTTCAAGCAGTATTAAATTTTTACAATCATCTTTACTGTACCTCTTGTGGAGCATCATTCCGTATAAATTTCTCATATATTGCTTTTGCTTTAAGGATAATTTGTTGAGGGTCTTTACTTTTCTTGAAATCTTCACAGGCTATCCAAAATTCAATGTTTTCCTCACTGAATTCTGTTTTAAGGAATCTGGTAAAAGTCTCCAGTCCATCTATCAGGAAAAGAAGTGATATATTTTAACTATACAATATTAATGCTGAAGAATTGTACTACTTGATATTTTTTTCCTCCAAATATTTATTTAAATTTCAATTAGTTAACATGCAGTGTGATACTGGTTTCTGGTATAGAATTTAGTGATTCATCACTTATATACAACACCCAGTGTTCATCACCTATTTAACCCATCCTCCCGCCCACCTCCTCTCCTGTATTGTACTACTTGATATTATAGCTATGTCTTCCCTCTAATGCAGTGAAGAAACACACATATGCACACTATACATGGGAGACCTCATATAAATTAGCTGTAATATTCACAATTATGAAAAGTAAGTATCAGTCCTGTTGAAAGGAGGTTGGTATCATACACAGACCTGAGGAAGAGGGACAAATCCCTACTCCGGATCTTGCTTTGGGTCTCTTTCAGGTCCCTCAGTGCCTTTCTCAGGGATGTGGGAGTTATTCTACAGAGCCAAGAAACTATTCCACCTGGTGCCCATTCTCTCCACGCCCCCTGACTTCCAGACTATGCTTCTATACTCAGGACCCTGGAATTCCCTGTCTAAAAGCTCTATGTTGCCAGGGTTTGCACAGTCCTCTTCCCCAAGTTCATCCACTAAAGGCACACTGACTCAATGGTATGCATACCCTTAGAATAGGACTTCAATTTGAAGGCTGGGGTGTCTACCCAAATGTGCAAAGAGGACTTTCACAGTATGGAACCAAACCATGAATAGAAAGAGAAGGAAGGTAGGCAACTTGATAGAATAGAACTGTAAAGAGTCTGAGAATTTTAAATTCAAACCTAATGGTTACACAGTATATTTGTATAAATAAAAGGATAAAATATATATTTATAACAGTTTGTTAGCTTGATTTATAGCTCTTAAGCATTTAGATATTTAGCATGGGATCTCCATTTTTACATTTGTTCTGAGCTCCATCAATGTTAGGCATTGGTATAAAGTTTTGTGGAAGATGGCCAGAATTCAAATTCATGTTTAGCTAGTTACTATGTAGTCCTGAGTGAAATACTTTTCTTTCTGTGCCTCAGTTTTTCAATATTTAAAATTAAGATAATGATGATACCTACCTGATAGGGCCGTTTAGAGAATTAAAAGCATTGATCCAAGAAAGATGGAGTAGGAGGACTTTCACCTTGTCCCAAAGATACAACTAGATAACATCCATATCAGTGTAAATAACCCAGAGAATGACCTGAGGCCTGGCAGAACAGACTCTCCACAGCTAAATGTAGAGAAGAGGCCATGTTGAAGAGGATAGGAAGGACAGAGACACAGTTGGGAGCCAAACAGACCCATGAGACTGTCTGCAGAAGGGAGGGACACAGCAGGCACCGAGAGGGGAGATAAACAGACCCTTGTTGCCAGGCACCCCAGGCTCAGCCACAATAGTAGAACACATAACACACATAGGAGACAGATTCTGGTGAATAGGGAACCTTGCACTGCAGGGCACCACAGGACTTCTTCATAAGGCCACTACTTTCAAGAGCAGATGTTGCCGACTTTCCTAACATATAAAAACAGACACAGAGAGACAAAATGAAGAGATGGGGGATATGTCTCAAATGAAAGAGCAGGACAAAACAGAAAAATAGACTTAGGGTACTCAGAAACACTATTAAGTGTAATAACTTTATCATTATATGGATCCCAGAATAAAAAGAGAGAGAAAGGGGGGAAGAAAATTTATTTGGAGAAATGATAGCCAAAAAATTCCCAAATCCAAGGAAGGAAACAGAAATTCAGAACCAGGAGGCACAGAGAGCCCCCTATAAAATCAACCCAAGGAGGTCCACACCAAGACACACAGTCATTAAAATGGCAAAAAGTAAAGATAAAGATAGAATTTTAAAAGCAGCAAGAGAACTATTGGCTATTTACCCCAAATATACAAATGTAGGGATCCGAAGGGGTACATGCACCCTGATGTTTATAGCAGCAATGTCCATAATAGCCAAACTGTGGAAAGAGCCAAGATGTCCATCGACAGATGAATGGATAAAGAAGATGTGGTATATATATATGCAATGGAATATTATGCAGCCATCAAAAGGAATGAAATCTTGCCATTTGCAATGACGTGGATGGAACTGGAGGGTATTATGCTGAGTGAAATAAATCAATCAGAGAAAGACATGTATCATATGACCTCACTGATATGAGGAATTCTTAATCTCAGGAAACAAACTGAGGGTTGCTGGAGTGGTGGGGGGTGGGAGGGATGGGGTGGCTGGGTGATAGACATTGGGGAGGGTAAGTGCTATGGTGAGCACTGTGAAATGTGTAAGACTGTTGAATCACAGACCTGTACCTCTGAAGCAAATAATACATTATATGTTAAAAAAAAAAAAAAAAAGGAAGAAGATAGCAGGAGGGGAAGAATGAAAGGGGGGAAATTGGAGGGGGAGACGAACCATGAGAGACTATGGACTCTGAGAAACAAACTGAGGGTTCTAGAGGTGAGGGGGTGGGGGGATGGGTTAGCCTGGTGATGGGTATTAAAGAGGGCACGTTCTGCATAGAGCACTGGGTGTTATGCACAAACAATGAATCATGGAACACTACATCAAAAACTAATGATGTAATGTATGGTGATTAACATACATACATACATACATACATACATACATAAATAAATAAATAAATAAATAAATAAATAAATAAAAGCAGCAAGAGAAAAGAAAACAGTTACATACAAGGGCAACCCCATAAGTCTATCAGTTGATTTTTCAGCAGAAACTTTTCAAGCAAGAATAAAGTGGTATGATATATTTAGAGTGCTGAAAGAAAAAACAAAACAAAACAAAAAAACCCTGCAACCAAGAATACTCTATGCAGCAATGTTATCATTCTGAATAGGAGAGATAAAGAGATTCCCAGACAAACAAAAATTAAAAGAATTCATGACCACTAAACCATTCCTACAAGAAATGTTAAAAGGAGCTCTTTGAATGGAAAGGAAAGACTATAAGTAGGAATAAGAAAATTAGAAAGCACAAAAACAGTAAAATTAAGTATATCTATAAAAATTGATCAAGGGATTCACAAACTAAAAGGATGTAAAGTATGATACCAAATACCTAAAACATGGAGGGTTGGGGAGAAGAGTAAAGAATGGGTTCAAATGCAAGCAGCCATCAACTTAATATAGACTGTTATATGCATAAGATGTTTGATGAAAACCTAGTGGTAACCACAAATCAAAAACCAAAAATAAATATGCAAAAAATAAAGACAAAGGAATCCAAGTATATCACTAAAGAGAGCCATCAAACCATGAGAGAAGAAAGCAAGAGAGGTGAGAATTAAAATTTTAAAGCATGCAAAGTGCTTAAAATGGTGACTGGCACATAGTATTATACTTTGTGGGTTTTGCTGGTGATGATGTTAATGGTCTTAGTGACTATCATTTATTTAAGCCTCAGTCAGGTAAAGTTTACATAGTTAGAATGTGGCAGAGTTAGAATTCATCCCTAAGACAAACTGACTTTAAAACTAGTGCTTATTCAACTTTTTATGATATTCTATTTTTTTTTTTTTGGCTTATACACATTTTTAAAATTAAACTTCCTTATTTTGAGAAAATTATAAATTCACATGTTGCTGTAGGAAAGAATAGAGATCCCATGTACTCTTTATCCAGTTTCCACCAATGTAACATCTTGTAAAACTGTAGAGTTGTTGAACCATGCAAGAGTTAGCAGTGCCAAACCCCCACTCCATGCAGTCAAATATCTACTTATAACTTTTGACTCCTCAAAAACTTAACTGCTAATAGTTTACTGTTGACCAGAAACCTCACAGATAATCAGTCAATTAACATATATTTTGTATATTATGTGTATTGTATAAAGTATTCTTACAATAAAGTAAGCCAGGTAAAAGAAACTATTATTAAGAAAATCATAAGGGAGAGAAAATGTTAGATTAAAACCTAATGGTAATCACATTTATAGTACTGTACTGTGTTTACTGACAAAATCCAAGAGTAAGTAGACCTATACAGTTCAAACCCAAGTTGTTCAAGGGTCAACTCCAATAAAATATCACAAGTAAGATAATGATATACCACTATTTAACTATTTACCCATTGAAAAACATAAAGAAGTGGGTTTTTAAAATTTATTTCACTTTGAGCAGAATTATTTTTCAAATAGATTATTATAACAACCTTCTAATTACTGACCCTTACTCTTGGATTCCATTACTTGTTCCCACACACTCTTAATTTATTATCCACATTCTAGTCAGTAATATCTTTCTATATACAGACTTCATCATGTTTCTTTACTTTTTAAAAATTTCCAGTAGTGCTTTTCATCTCTTTCCACTATCTTTTTCACACACTAAGCTCCATGTACTTAAAAACATTGTGCTACAGTTGCTTGCTCACTTGTGTTTCTCATGTTACTTTTTAAGATTCATGAGATGAAGACTCTTGTCTAATTTGCCACCAAACTTTGGAACTGTGGCTCAACAAAGTCTATGTTTTTGTTACAAACATTACACTTAACAGCAAGGGCTTTATACTAGTATTGAGGCAAATTAGAAAATGATTGGTTTCAAAGGATCAAACTGGCTGGAAAAAATAAAGAGGATCCATGGGTCCATGGGGGATATAATGGATTGCCAGAAAAATAATCCAAAACTCTTTAAAGGAAGACAACATAGTCTAGACTCCTCTATCTTCCTTTATGCTCACATACAATAAAAATTTATTAGGCATGCAAAGAAATGTCTAATGTGACCCATTATCAATAACAAAGGCAGTCAATAGAAACTGACCATGAGGTATCCAAAATATTTGAAATAGCATATAAGGACAGTAAAAAGGCTATTATTTAATTTGTTGAAGAATATAAATGTTAAAAAATACATAATGAGTGAATAGATGCAAAAACTCAGCAGAGAAACTGAAACTATAGAAACAATCAGATGGAAAGTCTAGAACTAGAATAGAAAA